GACCAGCCTGGCCAACATGATGAAACCCTGTCTTTACTAAAAATACAAAATTTTAGCCAGGCATGGTGGCAGGTGCCTGTAATCCCAGCTACTCAGGAGGCTGAGGCAGAAGAATCACTTGAACCTGAGAGGCAGAAGTTGCAGTGAGCCGAGATCGTGTCACTGCACTCCAGTCTGCGCGACAGAACAAGACCCTGTCTCAAAAATAAATAAATGAATAAAAATAACACAAAGAATGGGAGGGGAGAAATTGAACTATACTGTTACACTCCACATAAAATAGTATACTATTATGTAAATGTGAACCATGGTAAGTTAAATATATGTTTGGTAAATAAAATTAAAAGGTATGGCTAATAAACTAATTGTGGAGACAAAATGTTATTCAAATATTTGATTCATCAAAAAGAAAGCAGAAAAAGTGGGGAAGGAACAGTAAACAGATAAGGAACATAGAAAACAGAGAGTAGCCAGATACAGTGGCTCACACCTGTAATCCCAGCACTTTGGGAGGCTGAGGTGGGCTGATCTTGAGGTCAGGAGGTCGACACTAGCCTGACCAACATGGTGAAACCTCGTCTGTACTAAAAATATACAAACATTAGCCAGGCATGGTGGCGCGCTCCTGTAATCCCAGCTACTCAGGAGGCTGAGGCAGGAGAATCACTTGAACCAGGGAGGCAGAGGTTGCAGTGAGCCGAGATCTCACCATTGCACTGCAGCTGCCTGGGTGACAGAGCAAGACTCAGTCTCAAAAAAAAAAGAAAAGAAAAGAGAAAGTAAGATGTTAGACTTAAACCTAACCATATCAATAATTATCTTAAATGTAAATACTCTAAACATTCCAATTAAATGGTAGAAATTGTTGTATTATTTAAAGAAAAGCAAGATTCAACTATATGTTTGCTACAATAAATTTGCTTCAAATATGAAGACACTGTTAAGTTAAAAGCAAAAGGATGGAAAAAGATATGCCATGCAAACGCTAACCAAAGAAAACAGGAATAGCTCTTTCACATCAGACAAAGTAGACTTTACAACCTAAAAATTACAAGGGATAAAGAAGAACATTTTACAATGATAAAGGGGTTAATTCATCAAGAGGATATAATAGTCCTGAAAGTATAATAAACTAATAAAAGAACTTTTTTTTTTTTTTTTTTTTTTGAGATGGAGCCTTGCTCTGTTCCCCAGGCTAGGGTGCAGTGGCGCGATCTCGGCTCACTGCAACCTCTGCTTCCTGGGTTCAAGTGATTCTCCTGCCTCAGCCTCCCAAGTAGCTGGGACTACAAGTGCATGTCACTACACCTGGCTAATTTTTTGTATTTTTAGTAGAGACGGGATTTCACCGTGTTAGCCAGGATGGTCTTGATCGCCTGACCTCATTATCCACCTGCCTCTGCTTCCCAAAGTGCTGGGATTACAGGTGTGAGCCACCACACCCAGCCAAAAAAGAACTTTGAAATACAAGAGACAAAACCTGATAGAATGAAAAGGAGAAACAGACAAACCTACAAGCGTGGTTGGAGATTCAACACTGCTTTCTCAGTATTTTTTTTTTTTTTCTTGAGGTGGAGTCTCGCTCTGTCGCCCAGGCTGTAGTGCAATGGCGCATTCTCAGCTCACTGCAACCTCCGCCTCCTGGGTTCAAGAAATTCTCTTGCCTCAGGCTCCCAAATAGCTGGTATTATAGGTGCCCACCACCACACCCAGCTAAAATTTGTATTTTTAGTAGAGACAGGGTGTCACCATGTTGGCCAGGCTGGTCTTGAACTCCTGTCCTCAGGTGATCCACCTGCCTGGGCCTCCCAAAGTGCTGGGATTACAGGCATGAGCCACTGCACCCGGCCCTACTTTCTTAGTAATTATAGAAGTAGACAAAAAAGTAAACAGTCAAGACATAAAATACTTGAGCAATCCTATCAACCAATGTGATCTGATTGAATTTATAGAACACTCCACCCAACAACAGTAGAATACATATGTTTTTCTTTTTTCTTTTTTTTTTTTTGAGATGGAGTCTTGCTCTGTCACCCAGGCTGGAGTGCAGTGGCATCATCTTGGCTCACTGCAAACTCCACCTCCCGGGTTCATGCCATTCTCCTGCCTCAGCTCCCCGAGTAGCTAGGACTACAGGCAGCCACCACCACGCCTGGCTAATTTTTTGTATTTTTAGTAGAGATGGGGTTTCCTGTGTTAGCTAGGATGGTCTCCTGACCTCGTGATCTGCCCGCTTCAGCCTCCCAAAGTGCTGGGATTACAGGCGTGAGCCATCATGCCTGGCCCTACATATGTTTTCAAGTGAATACAAAATATTTATCAAGATAGACCATACCCAGGGCCAAAAAATAAGTCACAATATAATTTGAAAGGATTAAAATCATACAGAGTATGGCCAGGCACGGTGGCTTATGCCTGTAATCCCAGCACTTTGGGAGGCCAAAGTGGGCGGATCACTTGAGGTCAGGAGTTGGAGACCAGCATGGCCAATATGGTGAAACCCCATCTCTACTAAAAAATACGAAAATTAGCTGTGTGTGGTGGCCTGTGCCTGTAGTCCCAGCTACCTGGGAGGCTGAGGTGGGAGAATTGCTTGAACCCAGGAGGTGGTGGTTGCAGTGAGCCGAGATCGAGCCACTGCACTCCAGCCTGGGTGACAGAGTAAGACCCTGTCTCAAAAAATAAAATAAAAATAAATAAAACCATACAGAGTATATCCTCTGACTATAATGTTATTAAACCCAGTAACAGAAAGATATGTGGAAAATCCCCAAATATTTGGAAATGAAATACGCTTCTTAATGACCTATGGGTAAAAGAAAAAACCACAAGGGCAATTAGAAAATATTTTGAATTGGATAAAAATAAAACACAATATAGCAAAATCTGTGGGAAGCAGTTAAGAATCAAGGAAATTAAGAGTATCAGATGCTTATAGTAGAAAAGAATGAAGATCTCAAATCAGTGATCTATGTTTTCATCTTATGAGACTAGAAAAAGAAAAGCAAAGTAAACCCAAAGTAAGCAATGGGAAGCGAAAATAAAGATGAGCAAAATAATTAGAGAAAACCCCTCACCAGCCTGGACAACATAGCAAGACTCCAACTCTACAAAAAAAAATTTTAAAAATTAGCCAGGCATGGTGGCACGCACCTGAGGTCCCAGTTACTCAGGAGGCAGAGGCAGGAAGATCACTTGAGCCAGGGCGGTTGAGGCTGCAGTGAACTGTTATCCTGCCATTGCACTCCAACCTAGGTGACAGTGAGACCCAATCTCCAAAAAAAGAAAAGAAAAGAAAAGAAAAGAAAAGAAATAACCCCTCGACAATAGAGAAATCAATTACTCTAAAGCCAATTCTTTGAGAAGATAATATTGAAAAACTTCTCGTCAGACTGAATAGAAAAAAAAGAAGACACACCAATATCAGGAATGAAAGAGGAAACATCACTACAGATGGTACAGATAATATAAAGATAATGAGGAAATATTCTGAACAAGTTTATGTCAATAAATGCAATAACTTGGATGGAAGGGAAAAATTATTTTGAAAGGAAGACTGATGTTCACTCAAGAAGAAATAACCTGAATATTCATTATAATTATTAAGGAATTTGAATTTCTGATTACAAACCTTTCCACAAAGAAAACTCCCAGCCAGATGGCTTCACTAGTGAATTCTATCAATCACTGAAGAAAGTAATAGTGCAAACTGACATAAACTCTTCCAGAAAACAGGAGTAAATACTTTGCAACTTCTACTATGAGGTGAGCATTATCCTGTTCCCAAAACAAAGATATAAGAATAAAAAAAAACTGTAACCAATATCCCTCATAAACAGAGATGAAAAAAGTCCTTACAATATATTAACAAATCAAATTTAGAAATATGATAAAATAATAAGGAAAATGCATCGTGCTCAAATGGGGCTTATCCCACGAATTATGGAAGATTTGTTTAACATTCAAAAATTGACATTGTTGATTTATCATATGATTCAACCAGAAAAAAAAAACAATATGATCATGTCAATAAATATAGAAAAGCATTTGACAAAATTCAACACCCATTTATAATAAAATTTTTCAGCAAACTAGGAATAGAAGGGAATTTCTTCAATCTAATGAAGAATGCTTATGAAAAACCTTCACTTAATAACATAGTTAACGGTGAAGACTGAATGTTTTCCCCTAAAATTAGAAACAAGGGCAACATTGTCTGTTCTTGCTGCCTCTATATTAGAATAGCAGCCAGGTGCAATGAATGGCTCATGCCTATAATCCCAGCATTTTGGGAGGCTGAGGCGGGAGGATCACTTGAGTCCAGGAGTTCGAGACCAGTCTGGGCAACATGGCGAGGCCCTGTCTCTACAAAAACAAACAAACAAACCCAGTATTGTACTAGAGGTCTCAATCAGTGAAATAAGGGAATAAAAGTAAATAAAAGACTTCCAAATTAGAAAGGAAGAAGTAAAGTTATCATTATTCACAGACAACATGATTATCTATGTAAAAAATGCAAAAGAAACTTTTAAGAAGCTACTAGAACCAAGAAGGATGTTTAGAAACATCACAGGATAAAAGGCTAATATACACATATCAGTTGTATGTTTATACACTGTACTAGCAACAACCAACTATAAATAGAAATTTAAAACACAGTACCGTTCATTGTATCATCAAAAACATGAAATACTTAGGGATAAGTTTTACATAATATTTGTAAGACCTAAACTTGAGCACTTAAAACTATAAAATATTGTTTAGAAAATTTTAAGAAAACATACATAAATGCACATATTTTCCATGTTCATAGATCAGAAGACTGAATTTTTTTTTAAAGAAAATTTTTGTGGTTTTATTGTATCATAAGGCATTGAGACATCTGAACAAATCAATGTCTGGGCAGTGAGGAAGCTGCTTTCTCCTTCACTTCTTTGGATTACTAAAGCAACTTGTCAGTAGATTAAAAAACAAACAAAAAAAGGACAACTTTTGCATTACTTAAGTCTTTCCAAGGCACGCGCTGGTACAACACAAACTTATCCTATCAGATGTAAGTAGTCTAGCATCCAAACATCATGCACAACACCTCGATGGCAGCAGCGCACTGCGCCCACTCCCGCCGTGGCCCTGCTTATTTGTGCATGGCATCTGGAGGAGTAGGAATAGTATTGGGAAGAGGAGGGAGGAGGAAACAGTGTTAGAGCCTGGCTGAGAGGAGGTCAGCCGAAGTTGTGCAGGGCAAGCCTGAACATGTCGTTGGTGCAAACCCAAGCATCCTGGATGTTCTTTAATAGGAACATCTGGTGGAACCCCATGATGGGCTCTTCATCGGCCTTAAGCCGGCCCACAACCATGCTGATGATGCAGTTATCTGGCATAGGCTGATGGTCCTGAGCCATGAGGCTGTGCTGGATTTTCTGGAACGGAAGGCTAGACAACTTCTCCACAATGGCAGCTTTCCCCTGGAACTGTTGTCCTTCCCATGTAAGGCATGAGGCATCAATGTAAACTGCGCCTAGTTGCGTTCTATCGTTACCAAATAACTGGTAGTAATGTTGAATGAAGCTGGATCCAATCGGCTCCCAAACTGGCTTGTCTCCCATTCTTGAGCGTCACCTGGCCTCGTGGAGACCTGAGGGGCTGGCACGACGCTGGCAGTGGTGGCAGCAACCCAGAGTGGTCCTGAATATTAAGATACCAGTTTTCAGGCCGGGTGCGGTGGCTCACGCCTGTAATCCCAACACTTTGGGAGGCCGAAGGAAGGTGGATGACCTGAGGTCAGGAGTTCGACACCAGCCTGACCAACATGGTGAAACCCCGTTTCTACTAAAAATACAAAAACTATCCAGGCATGGTGGCAGGCGCCTGTAATCCCAGCTACGTGGGAGGCTGAGGCAGGAGAATCGCTTGAACCCAGGAGGTGGAGGTTGCAGTGAGCCGAGATCACACCATTGTACCCCAGCCTGGGTGGCAAGAGCAAAAACTCGGTGAAAAAAAAAATCGGTTTTCCCAGAATTAAAACTGTAGTTTCAATGCAAACCCAATCAAAAGCCAGTAAGATTTTTGCAGAAATTTACAAGCTAATTCTAAAACTGATATTAAAATATGAAGAACCTAGAAGAGTCAAAGCAAATTTTAAAGAAAACAGTATTAGAAGGCTTTATGACTTACTATAGTAATCAAGACAGTGTGGTGTTGCTGTAAGGACAGACACATACATCTAAGGAACAGAATTGAGAGTCTAGAAATACAGTTTCTTAGGTTAGGAATTCAGAGGCATCTTAGACTCGTGGTTCTAGTTCAGGCCTTCTCCTGAGGCTGCACATCAAGATGTTGGCTGAGGCTAGTCACCTGAATGCTTAACTGGGACTGGAGGATCTACTCCTAAAATGGCTCACTTACCTGTCTGGCAGGTAGCTGCTGGTGTTGGCATGAGGCTTCAGTTCTTCACCACATAAGACTTCATAGAGTGGTTTGAGTTTTCAGCTGGCTTCCCTGGATGAGTGATCCAAGAAAGATCAAGATAGAGAGCAAGGTAGAAGCCAATGTTTTTATGACCTAATGTTGTTAACTTTTACTCCCTAATTTCTGCAAAATTGTATTGATTACACAAGTCAACCAAGGCAACCAATGCAGTAGGAGGGGACTACACAGAGGCCTGCATACAGGTGGTATTCATTAGGTGCTATCTTCAACTCTAGCTACCACAGGTTCTAAAGTAACTTAATGGAAAAGGGTAGTCTGTTCAATGAATCGTGCTGGAACAATGGGATATCCACACAGAAAAAAAAGGACCTCAACCTTTACCTCACACCATATGTAAAATTTAATTTGAAATAGATCATAGGCCTAAACATATGAGCTGAAACTATAAAACTTGTAAGAAGAAAAGAAAGGAAAAAAAATCTATGCAAACCTGACATAAGGCAGAAGATTTCTTAAGACCTCAAAATCACAAACCATAAAAGAAGATAATGATTATTGGATTTCATAAAAACTAAAACTAACTCTTTGAAACGGTTATGAAAATGATGAGGTAGGCCGGGTGCGGTGGCTTGTGACTGTAATTCCAGCACTCTGAGAGGTTGAGGTGGGGAGATCATGAGGTCAGGAGTTCGAGATCAGCCTGGCCAACATGGCAAAACCCCATTTCTACTAAAAAACACAAAACTTAGCCAGGCATGGTGGTGCGTGCCTGTAATCCTAGCTACTGGGGAGGCCGAGGCAGGAGAATCTCTTGAACCCAGGAGGTGGAGGTTGCAGTGACCTGAGATCACACCACTGCACTCCAGCCTGGGTGACAGAGCAAGACTCCATCTCAAAAAAACAAAAATAAAACAAAACAAAAAAGGCTGGGTGTGGTGCTTCACGCCTGTAATCCCAGCACTTTTGGGAGGATCACCTGAGGTTGGGTGTTCAAGACCAGCCTGACCAACATGGAGAAACCCCGTCACTACTAAAAATGCAAAATTAGCCAGGCATGGTGGCATGTGACCGTAATCCCAGTTACTCTGGAGGCTGAGGCAGGAGAGTCGCTTGAACCTGGGAGGCAGAGGTTGCAGTGAGCTGAGATCATGCCAATGCACTCCAGCCTGGGCAATAAGAGTGAAACTCCGTCTCGGAAAAAAAAAAAAAAAAGAAAGAAAGAAAAAGAAAATGATGAGGCAAGGCACAGACTATGAGAAAATATATGCAAAACATAAATAAGGGAGTTATATCCTAAATATATGGAAAACTTTTACAGCTCAGTAACATAGAACAAATAACCTGATAAAAATGAGTGAAATATTTGAACAGACATTGCACTAAATAAGATATATACATTTTTAAAACGAACACATCGTAAGATGCTCAACGTAGTTATTTGAAAAATGAAATTTAAAAATACAGTAAGATACCGCTGGCCACCCACTAGCATAACTAAAATTAAAAAGAATGGCAATACTAAAAATTGGTGGCTGTGTGGAGATGACTGGAGCTTTCATATACTATTGGTGCGAGTGTAAAATGCTTCAGCCACTTTAGAAAATAGTTTTGCAGTTTCTTACAACATTAAAAGTATATTTTCTGATATGACCCAGCAATTCCATTTCTAGCTATGCACCCAAGAGAAATGAAATCATATAGTCACACAGACTTGAACAAATATTCCTAACAGCTTAATTCAAAATAGCCCAAACTGGGAAAAAGTCCAAATGTCTATGGACAAGAGAAAGGGTAAACAAATTGCGGTACAACCAGACAATGCAGTATCAGCAATAAAAAAGCCGGGCGCGATGGCTCACACCTGTAATCCCAACACTTTGGGAGGCCAAGATGGGTGGATCACCTGAGGTCAGGAATTCGAGACCAGCCTGGCCAACATGGTGAAACTCCGTCTCTATTAAAGAAATACAAAAATTAGCCAGGTGTGATGGCGGGTGCCTGCAATCTCAGCTACTCTCGGGAGGCTGAGGCAGGAGAATCGCTTGAACCCAGGAAGCGGAGGTTGCAGTGAGCTGAAATCGCGCCACTGCACTCCAGCCTGGGCGACAGAGCGAGACTCTATCTCACCAAAAAAAAAAAAAAAAGTAAACTACTGATCTTTCCAACAATAGGGAGGAGTCTCAACAACATTAAGCCAAGTGAAAGTCAGACACAGAGCTCATAGTGTATGATTCCATTGATATGAAACTCCAGAAAATACAAAAACATAATCTATAGTAGAAGAAAGCAGTCCAGCGGTTGCCTAGAACTCAGGTGTGTGGGATGGGGTGAGTAGAGGGACACAGGGTAGTCTGGGATGACGGCACAAGGTGATTGTTGAGGACATGGAAATGGTCTGCATCTTGATTATGGTAGCGGAGTGTGAATGTGTCAAAAAGTATCTAAATATCCACTTAAAGTGGGTGCATTTTATTGCATGTAAACTATACTTCAACAAAGTTGAATTTTTTAAAAAATAAGAAGGCACAGCTTTCCAACGGGTTTCGATTTGAATAAACAATATCTGCAGCTTTTGTGCCTTCCCATGTGTACACCCACAGGGCCCTGCGTTGAGACTTTCTCAGGTGCCACAGGGCCCGGCATTGAAAGGAATCCAAGGTTAACACCATTAGCCCGCGTGGATTGCGGGCCGCGAAGCCGGCGGAGGAAGCGCTAGTTTAGTCACAGTTGCAGGCCTCCGCGGTCGCAATCCTGCCGCGAGGGGTTGCTGCGCACCCAGAGGCCAGAGGTCCAGGCGACAGATTCCAGACGCGTCCTTCCCACCTGCTCCCGGAGGACTCCGAAAGCCGCGCCCATTCGGCGGAAGCCGCCGCATCTCCAACCTGCGTTAATCGGGGTCTGCGGGACCGACACGATGGACGCGGGCCACCACGGGCCACCAGGCCCCTGGAGCGAGAGAGGAGCCCGGCGGGCGAGAGCAGCCTAGGGCGTGCGCCCGTCGCGGGGATTGGAAAGGAGAAGCCTCTGTCGGGCGAGGGGACTTGCGGGGAGAAGACCCCTCCCAGCCCAACCAGGGTTAGGGACGGGTGACCCGCAAGGGCCCGTCGAGTTTGGCTGATCCGCGCTGGGGCTCAGCCCTCTGCCTTCCGCCGTGGAGTCGCCCGGGGAGCCAGGAGCAGTGGCACTGCCTCTCCCGATTCCCCCAGCCCCAGGGCTGCCCCTCACTCGGGACAGACCCGCTGCTCGGAATCGCCCACGAGCCTCCCAGGCCCCCACCGCACCCCTCTGTCGCCCGCAGAGGAGCATTTTATGGATACCGCCCATGACAGGGAGGTCTCTCTTGGAGACGCAGTCCGTCCACGCAAATCTCCTGCGGACTCCACCGCTCTGTGAGGGACTCGGCCAGGCCCTCCCTATCCCACCGCCGGGGCCGGATGGTCCTTGATCGATGCCGCTCTACTAATCAGAGGGAAGGAGAGGAGGGGACGCTCGCAGCTGCCCCCATCTTGTTTGTTTTTGAGACGGAGTCTCGCTCTGTCCCCCAGGCGAGAGCGCAGTGGCGCGATCTCGGCTCACTGCAGCCTCCGCCTCCCAGGTTCAAGCAATTCTCCTGCCTTAGCCTCTTGAGTAGCTGGGGTTACAGGCGATCGCCACCACGCCCGGCTCGCTGCTGCCTCCTTCTGAGTAAAGCTGGGGGAAGAGTCCCTGGGAGTAACTGTCCAGCCTGGGGCGGGGCGAGTGTGCTGGTATTGGTGGTTGGGGGTTGTGGGGAGTGTTGGGAGAGCTGCAGTCCGCATTCCTCACCCTGGAGACCAAGTACCCTCCCGAAATCTTGCACACGCACTCTCAGTCTCCCCTGACCTAACACGTGCGCGCGCACACACCCCTGCACTCCACCCGGGACCCACTGAACCTCCCTTTCTCACATCTTCTAACTGACTAATATCTACAATTGCAACCAATTTTTTTCTGTTATTAACTTAGTTAAAAGATTTTTCCGGAGGGATTATTGATGTCGGCTTACCAGCAGCTTAATCTTTAACAATCAGTAACTAAAAGCAAACAACGGGTCGGGCGCGGTGGCTCTCGCCTGTAATCCCAGCACTTTGGGAGGCCGAGGCGGGCGGATCACGAGGTCAGGAGATCGAGACCATCCTGGCTAACACGGTGAAACCTCATCTCTACTAAAAATACAAAAAATTTAGCCGGGCGTGGTGGCGGGCGCCTGTAATCCCAGCTACTCG